AATTTAAAATTATGTATATACATTTTTATTATGTTATGTAATTCCTAATTTTTAGTTCAAAAAAATTTAAATGTCTTTGCTATTTTATTTGAAAAGGGAGCGGTAACGTGGGAGGGTTGATAGGGGATTATGAGTATGTAGGAAGTTAGACAAGGGTTGAGCACACTGGGCTGCATTAGACCCACCATTTAGTTGAGGAGTAATGACAGTGGTTTTAACTGTACTCCAACCAGGGGACCAGGTGTCCTTTTCTCATCTAATATTTGGGCTATATATTACTTTCAACTCCTGAGGCCAAGGTATGGGTACATTTGTTAGACCCCAACTCTGTTATGATATTTTTTCCAGTCCATGTGTGGTCAATAGACAGACTTATTCATGGAGCCCCCTTCAGTTAATGGGGGTCTATAATGATAACCTCTATTTACCTGTTTTGTTAGGGGAGAGCCATTTGTTAGGCCCTCTCTAATTTTGTGGAATCCTCCAGTACATCCTAGCTTGGGTTATTTGGAGATTTTTAATGGCGCCCTACAAATATTTTATAACATATTTGTATATTTTCTTTCATGACTGCCCTCATTTTGGAACTCCTGCTTGCACTGCAAAATGGTAAAATTAGGTAGTGAGGTGTTGGTGTGTTGTAGTTTTTCACTGACTGTAAATAAGATACAGTATTCTAAATAAGATTCTAAACACATTTATTGTAGTTTAAAGATGCGTTACTGTGTGTACTAATGTTGTGGTGCTCTGTTATACACACAGACACACCAAGAATATGGAACTCCTAGAAAAGAGGGACAGAGGATTTAGGCACAAAATATGGACTGTCCTTCCTAAATAGGGACACTTTGAATGTATGGACTGTTCCTCTAAAGGATTTTTTTTTTAATTGTACTAGTTTAGCAACAAGATGGCTGTTATTAACGGTCAAAAGCTTAGTAGTGCAATATAAAAAATTGGTGTGTTCACAATCCAAAGTACATACAGTGTAATCCAATTAAATAGAAAATAACTTCTCTGTATCAGGAGAAGCTTAAAATGACCCCAAAACTTCCTTTTGTCGTCCAAAGCAGACATAGGGGAAAAACAAAAACACAAAGTGTGAAATAGCATATAACTGTATTTATAAAGTGCTAAGAATCTGCATTTTGTTAAGCCACTCACAATGCAGAGGTTGAAAAAGTGCCTTGTACAGAATTGTCCATCAAAGGTATCATTTTCTTGTTGTCCAGATTATGATAGATTTTTAATAGTAATAGGGAATCCTCCTGTCGAGAAAAAAATGAAATATAATTGTAGTGCAAATAGGCAATGCAGTTTAAAACAATTTATTTAACTTACTTCAAACTCACCATTAGTCATCCAGTGCATTTCGTCCGGTTTAGGGACTTTACTTTCACAAGTAACAGCTTACAATGAATATAAACTAAGCTCTTTATAAACACAGTTATATATTGTGTTGTTTTGCAGGTTTTTTTTCTAGGAGAATATTTCCCTACTTTTGTATAATAGCTTAGCAGTCACTGTTTTTGTCTATTTTAAGGTTTTATGGAGAAATAGCCAAATGTCAAGCAGCTGTTTGTTAACACCATCAGAGCAGATCTCCTTCAACTTCCCTGCCTGCAGTTTATTTTTTGAAAGCATGCTGAATTGAAAAGCTGTTATGCAAAAGCCAAAATGATAAAAAGCTCAACATATACAACTTATTATTTAATTATTTACAGGCATTTTTAAAAAAAAGTTTAAATCAGTGTGCATAGTGCAACACAACACATCTGGTAGTAGGTGCTCTCTTCAGCTGAAGATAAAATGTAGAGACACGTTTCTCGTAATATATAAATCTATGTCTCAGTTGGAAACATCTGGTTAACCTTTCAGGAGAATAGAATCTTCTCCCAAATTACTACCAGCTTTGGGAGATGTTTCCCTGCAAAATCCACAGGCGGCCGGGCAGTAGCCATGGAAACAGAGGTGACTGTAGAACATGGGCTGTCTATTAGGTGTCATGGGAGTCAATTAACTTGTTGCTCAATGCTCATACCTCAGGTACGGAAGAGGTTACGTAAACAATGCTACTAATTTGGCTAGAGGCAGCAATGACTGTACATCTAACAAAAAACTAATGTATGAGGGTTTTCATGCCAATGTCAAGGGTCCAGTAATACATCGGTACAGATCTATTAGAACCAAATTCCTTAGATTATTTTATGTATGTATCATATGTATATAGCACCAACAACTTCTATTATGCACAGTTAGCATATACAATTTACAGGTATTTGGTGACATAGGTTTAGGCACAAATGAAAAAAAATGATACAATCTTGCAGGTGTTATATTAAAGCGGCACTGTCATGCCGAACTTACCTTTCCTCAATCTCTTCCTCTTCTCCCCCTCTCTCAGGATCTGTTCTTCTTTTCTTCCTGTCTTCTTTAGTTTTCTTTAAAATCATAAGACAAAGTAGGGACTCTTTGCCTTATGGAAGATTCCTCCGCTTGACCAGCTCTGACCAGCGGAGGAGCAAAGTGTGCATCATTTCCGCTGGTCAGAGCAATTTTCCCATGATCCTTACCTTTCCTCTGTGTTCCCGCGATGCTTCCTGTCATTTTAGCTGAAACTGCCGAATTGCGTTCTAAATGAATGAGAACAGTATGTTCGTTTGTTTTAGAACGCAATTCGGCACTTTATTCGGATCGCAATTTCATTCAAATTAATGAAACTCCGATCCTATTCTTGCTGTGGCTACATCTTGCAGCCGCTTAGTAGATAACTCCCTAATTCCCACGGTATCAGAGAGTTATCTACTAAAAGGCTGAAAGACCTAAATTGGTCTTTCAGCCATATTTACTAATACTAAGTAAAGATTACTTAGTATTAGTAAATAATCTGCCTCTACTCGCTATACTGCGAGTAGGGGCATGTCTGGTAAACAGTGAGCAGCCTGTGGCTGCTCACTGTAAAAAAAACAAAAACTATTGGCCCCCACCCCTAAACGACGGGTGGGGGCCCTAAAGTAAAATAAGGGGGGAGACCTAATGTCCCCCCCCTGGCCCCCACCCCTGAGCGGCGGGTGGGGGCCATAATGATAAGGAGGGGGGGGACCTACTGTCCACCCCACTCCGGTCCCCACCCCTGGGCGGCGGGTGGGGCCCATAATGATAATGAGGGGGAGGGACCTACTGTCCAACCCCCTCTGGCCCCCACCCCTGGGCGGCGGGTGGGGGCCATAAAGATAATGAGGGGGGTGTAAAATGACAAAGAGCACTCTGATTGGCTTAAACCCACCAATCAGAGTGTTCTTAGCCTAATTGCAGGGCGGGGCAAGGCTTTATAAGCCTTCCCCGGCCCTGCGGAGGTCAGTCTGCACGGAGCCCTCCATGGGTGAAGATGGATTATTTTTTTGCGCTCTGGTTTTTTCTCTTTCGTCTGGTTTTTTTTTTTGCGCTCGGGATTTTTATATTATTTTAAATTCGACAGTTATGATGGTTTTTTATTTGGCCTTTTTTGGGGCTGAAAATTAAGATTTGAGAAAAAAGAAGACGTCGAATGGTAAGTTTAATTTTATTTTACAGGTTAGTTATTTTATTCCCCCCTCACTATTTTTTAGGGTGAGGGGGTAGGTAGGGACTTTTTATTTGGGTGGGGGGGTGGGTGACTAGGGGCTTGGGGACCCCTAGTCACCTTGAGGGGGGAGGGAATGACTTAGGGCCCCCACTCGCCGCCCAGGGGTGGGGGCCAGAGGGGGGTGGACAGTAGGTCCCCCCCTCATTATCATTATGGCCCCCACCTGCTGCGCAGGGGTGGGGGCCGGGGGGGGAGGACAGTAGGCCCCCCCTCATTATCATTATGGCCCCCACCCGCCGCGCAGGGGTGGGGGCCAGGGGGGGAGGACAGTAGGTCCCCCCCCTCATTATCTTTATGGCCCCCACCCTCCGCGCAGGGTTGGGGCCCGGGCGGGGAGGACAGTAGGTCCCTCCCATTATCATTATGGCCCCCACCCGCTGTCAAGGGGTGGGGGCCAGAGGGGGATTGGACAGTAGGTCCCCCCTCATTATGGCCCCAACCCGCCGCGCAGGGGTGGGGGCCGGGGGGGACAATAGGTCTCCCCCTTTATTTTATGGCCCCCACCCGTCGTTTAGGGGTGGAGGCCAATAGTTTATTTTTTGTTTTTTTACAGTGAGCAGCCACAGGCTGCTCACTGTTTACCAGACATGCCCCTACTCGCTGTATTGCGAGTAGGGGCATGTGGGAGATTTTAATCTCCCTTATGATATTATAGGGGTCATATTGACCCCCATAGAGTGAGGGGGGACCTGAGGGGCTTATGAAGTGGTGGGGAGCACTGCTCCCTGTCGCTTCTATCTTTACATATTACAAGGAGGGAGCTGCTTGCCGGTAGCTCCCTCCTTGTACTAAACTGAACGAACAAACGAACACTGATATTCGGTGTTTGTTTGTTCGGCTGACATTTCTATTCATTCATTCGTCTGTCTGATGAATGAATGGATGAAATTCCCGTTCGCATGTCCAGGTGTTTCACTGGGTATGTGCGGGAATCTCACAGTCTGTGTAGTGTGGGCAGATGACATGTCCCACAGGGACTTCCTCTACCCACACAAAGATGGCGGCACCCTGAATATAGATCGGGGCAGAAAATAAAGATAAAAAAATAGGTAATATGGGGAGCTTAGGGGCATTTAGGGGTGACTATGGTGTCAGTTAGAGATAGTGGAGGCAGGAGGGGGGGTTAAAAAAAAACAGGATTCGGCATGACAGTGCCGCTTTAAATTGACAGCATGTTGTGGGGAATTGAGAGCTCATCACTTATCACAACTGAGACAGATGAAGACATTTTATAAGAAGCCCTCCATTTATTATCAGTTTTTGTGTTTATTGTTGTGTGTTGAATGAGGATTTATTGTCGTATGCTAATTAGGATTAAGCAAGCACTTTAATCTGTTTTATAGAGCAGCCTGCCATGATTCAAATCGCTGTACAGTTGCATTTTTTTCCTCCCTGTATCATGACCACTACAGCCCGTTTTCCAACCATTTGCCCTCTTACCTGCGTCCCCACTAAGTGCTGAGGGTCCCCTATGGACGGTGACGTACATCCAGCATCAGCAGAGCTGCAGAAGCCGAATGCCAATCCCGCTGGCCATTCATTGACTGAGAACATCAACGGACCTCAACTGACCTTATTAATGCTATTGATTTTAGCCAGCCTGAAACTGTGTAAGAAAAAGCTTCAGGTTAATATTTCTACAACCTACAATCCCAGGTTGCCAAAGAAAAAACTAAAAAACTAAAAGCTCCAAGAAAAGAGGCACAATACAAAAGTGTATTTGCTGCTGGATAATGAACTACTTACCTTATAAACCCTTGCTGGACTAAAGTTTATGGAACAAAATGAGATCTCATACGCCAAAATATTAGACTCCTGATTAATGAAGCGTCTTACTGGTGAAAAGCTTGAGTTAAAGGAGCACTCTAATGTTAGCAGTAGAAACATGTATTTATTTAGCGTTTACTCCTGTCTACTTTTTCCTATACTATAGTACTATATTTTTTTATTTTCCTTCAATTTCAAGCTGTGCCCACCACTCCGCTCCTCGCTGAGATCATTACTGATGATTTTAGTGAATCTAATGCTTCTCTATAGAGAAGCCCACCCTGCCGTCAGCACCCGCGCATGTGCAGCAATCACTGCTCTGTGCCAATCGGCTTCTTTTCCTTCATGGGGAGTGTTGCGATTCTTCACGCAGAGAGTGAAGAAGCAGCCCCTTGGTCCTACAAAGATTGCAGCACCATAATAGGAAGCAAATCTATCTAGTTGAGTTATGTCATTAGGGATCTAAACACTGCCTTGAGACACTGAAGGGACAATTTATGTGCACCAAAACCACTTAATTAAGCTGGAGTGGTCTTGGTGCTTAGAGTATCCATTTATTTGTGCAGCTGCGTATTTATA